TTTCAAAGTAATGCTGCTGTGTAGACGCACCCAGAGACCCCTTCCAGGAGGCCGCCGACAGCAGACCTGCCCGCTGATGATGGTGGGAGAGGACCATGGACATTTAGAACCAAGAAACCTGCAGATCATCCAGCAGCCACTTTCACTGCATAATCTCCCAGGCAAGGACTCTTTGTTTCTTACTAGGTATGCGTACAGCACCTGGCGCAGCAGGACTGGCACCAGCCCCAGCCCGCAGCAGCTCCCCCTGCTGGATGCGCACCAGGCTGTGGTGTGTGGGGCCCAACATATGGCACTTGGGAATGGTTAAGCGTTCCCAGGTGTGAGCGGATGGCAGTTACTACCTCTGGCTCCTGGGGCACTCTGGGGGATCAGATGCCCTTCCTAGCACCCCCTTCTGAGCACTCAGACCCTACGGTCCAACGGCCAATGCCCTGCGGCTAGTGCCGGCTGCCCCATTCTGACCAAGTGGGTAAGCGCAGTCCCCGTGGACACTCCGGTTTACAGTTCAACGCTTCAGGGACATGCGATGCTAGAGCAAACAGCTGCAGGCTTTGTTCTGTCACAGTTACTCTTTAAGTAGCCCAAGAGATAGGCAGATCTAGGCAAAACACTCAAACTTCCGCATGCCAATCCCTGCCTCCGTTTCCCACCACTCAAGTGACTCAGTGTCTTTTCAGGGTTCCAGGTGCCCTCTAATGGGTCACCCTTTTCCAGTTCCTGGCTTCTCCTCTGACACAAAGTCTCTCCCTCATCTCTACATTCAGGCTACGTCTAGACAGAGGTACCCTGAAATAGCAATTCCGTGTCTTTAAACGCACCTGTCATTTCAAAATATTCTTCAAAATAATGAGCGTGCTATTCTGGCATCCCTCTAACTCTCCACGAGGGTGAAGGGACTTGTTGGAATAGCGCTTTATTTCAAAATTACCTCGAAAGAAGCTACGCAATATGCATAGTGCAAATTGCATAGCTTATTTTGAGGTAAGGTTGCTGTGTAGATGCACCCTCAGTATCTTCTAGCTTTGGCTGGTCCAGCATCGAAAAGGACATCTGCAATGGAAGCCTGGCTTTTTGTCCTCTCCTGCCCCTGCCCACACCCTAAAATCATGAGTAGTGCGGAGAGGGCCGATAAAGAAAAGTTATTTATTAGTTCCCATAATAGAAGAACTAGAGGACACCAAATGAAATTAATGGGTAGCAGGTTTAAAACGAATAAAAGAAAGTTCTTCTTCACACAGCGTGTAGTCAACCTGTGGAACTCCTTGCCAGAGGAGGCTGTGAAGGCTAGGACTATAACAGAGTTTAAAGATGAGCTAGATAATTTCATGGAGGTTAGGTCCATAAAAGGCTATTAGCCAGGGGATAAAATGGTGTCCTTGGCCTCTGTTTGTCAGAGGCTGGAGAGAGATGGCAGGAGACAAATCGCTTGATCATTGTCTTTGGTCCACCTTCTCTGGGGCACCTGGTGCTGGCCACTGTCGGCAGACAGGATACTGGGCTAGAAGGACCTTTGGTCTGACCCAGTACTGCCATTCTTATGTTCTTCTTTGATGTGGCGGACTGACCCAGTCTCTGAAAGCAATGAATGGTCCTGTGGCACCTTAGAGACTAACAAAAATATATAGCTAGTATCATGAGCTTTTGTGGGCAAAACCCACTTCTTCAGATGAACTGAAGTGGAAATAACAGAAACCAAGGTATAGATATAGATACACACATACAGCAGAAGTACCACCTGTCAATTGTAGGACTTGTGTTAATGAAGCTAATTAAGCAGGGTGGATGTGTCCCATTCATAGCTTTTGATGTGAACATGCAGATGTCAAAGGCAGTGGAAACTGCTGTGTTTTTAAAGGGTTATGTCAACAACTCCTCTATGGTTTTGATAGATTTGCACCACCTCATCCCCACTAGTCTCATTCATAGACCTGCGTCCTCTGTGCTAGGCACTGTACAAACACAGAACCAGGAGTCTCTGCCCCCAGAGCGCTTACAAAGTCGATCTCAGACAGCAGGCAAATGCCTCTACAGAGAAGTGGAGCAAACACATTTTTCTCGGTATAGTTACTCCTTGGTTTTGCACAAGCCTCATCAATTCAGGTGCGGATCGTTTTTCACGATCAGTCTATTTATAGACAAATGCAGGCACTGCTCACCTGGCTCCTTCACCCCTGATACATGAGACAGGAACCATGAGGGCTGAACCATGCAGAGCTCCGAATCTCAAACGAAAGTAGAGTCCCCAAATTGTCACAAGCCCTCAGAGCACTACTTAACATAAATAATTAGGGTTTCCACACACACACCCCTAGCCACCAGCGGACATTGGAAATATATTCAGAGGACCCGAAAATATGGATGACGTGTGAAGCGGTCATCTGAATGGTCACTTCTCTCTCCAGCTGACTGGGGAAAGTCGATGTTGACTCTAATCAGCCAGCCATGTTCAAGGAAAACGTTTCCTAAATTCCCTGGACACAATTTAGAATTCCACTGTAATTCACCAACAGATAGAGCAGCATCTAACTTTACATCACATTCAAATACAGGGCGCTCTTAACTTGACCAATCAGCATTTATTTTCATGGGGGCAGAAGAGAAAGGGGCTGATCCACAGATTTTCAGTTGTCCGACAGGTGAACCGTGGCATGAGAGGCAGGATGGCCCAGGGGCAAGCACACTGGACTGAGATGCAGGATATGTGGGGTCTTTTCCTGGCTCTGCCACTGACGTTCTGCGTGAACTTGGGGGAGAGACTTTATTTCTCTCAGGTTTCAGAGGCAGCCGTGTTAAAAAGGAGGAGTCGGGTGGCACTTTAAACACATTTATTAGGGTATTAGCGCCCAAGCTTTTGAGAGCTACGACTCAATTCCTCAAAATTCAGTCAATGTACTCACTTCAACTGTTGCGAGAAGATCAAGGAAGAGCTGGGGAAGAGGAGAGTCCGTTGCCATGTTGCCATGGACACTAAATTAGATTTCGCTTGATGTCTAATTCCGGCACCCAGTAATCTAGAAGGTTAACTACCGTCTGTGAGAAAAGTTCAGACAGAGAGAACATGGATAACAGTGCCAGGCCCGGCTGCCCGCCACACGACGGCTCTGGCATCAGCCGTTGCCGCTGTCCCGGCCGCCCCACCGGCCACCATGCAGCCCACCTTAGCTGCAGCTCCGGGCTTGGGGAAGGGCTGAAACTGAGGCCAGGGCCGCATGGTGACTGCTCAGTTGTGCCTGTGGTAGGGCAGCAGCTCCACACACGGCCCTGCCCTGGAGCAGCTCAGCAACCACTGTGTGGCCCGGCTGAGGAGGTAGCGGGCCTCAAATTCTTGGTGCACGCCTGCACAGGCACGCACCTTAGAGGGAGCTACGGTCTCAGGTTCAGTTGAACGACTGGAGATAGGGAGGAAGAGATACAGAAATTAACTGTACCCTGAAATGCTCCCATTAATCCCGAGTATTCCAGTGAAATCTATGGCTTTGTTTTGGGCTTCCAGCAAACTCTGGCCCCCAGAATGGACCAACCACCCTTTAAAAGTTCAAGTCCTGTTCTCTATCATCAGTAGCCGCAAAACCCAAGTAACAAATGTCAGGGCCACTGCTGCTGATCCTACAGGAGGTTTTTCAAAGAACAGAGCACCTCAAACTCCCACGTGGAGCTGGAAGAAAGCAAGCCAGTTTGGCTGCCTCTGGTCACATCTCCTCAAAAATTCCAGTGCTTCCTCAGTGTTGTATTTTGCTGCCAATTCAAAGACCAGCAAGGAAGGATCTGCCAAGTTCTTGGCGCTCAGTTACAAATGAGAACATTATAAAGAAGAATTTGTGTGTTAGCTGATTTGCAAACACTGCAGCAAGTCACTGTGTAAACATGTCGCTTGCGTTCCTATTATTTCTCCCAAGCAGTTTACCATTCCAGTGCTTCCTCAGTGTTGTATTTTGCTGCCAATTCAAAGACCAGCAAGGAAGGATCTGCCAAGTTCTTGGCGCTCAGTTACAAATGAGAACATTATAAAGAAGAATTTGTGTGTTAGCTGATTTGCAAACACTGCAGCAAGTCACTGTGTAAACATGTCGCTTGCGTTCCTATTATTTCTCCCAAGCAGTTTACCTGGCATCCCACGGTGCCAGGGTTTTCCTCCTTACATTACCACGGTTCCTTCACACTTAAAAAAGCCCAGCTTCTTTCTGTACTGCTAAAAAACAAACCCAAACCTCAACCCTTATAATTAATCTTAATCACAAAGCATCTTGATAATTAGGGTAGGAGAGTCACTGGAAACACTTGGAATACAAATCAGATTTGCAGGTGCATTTGCAATTGCATGGTAGGATACGGTTCTATTGCAGTCAATTAAGGAATTAGAACAAGTAAATAAATAGCAGAGGGTTTCAAATATGTTGCTCGTGTAAAACTTTTATTATCGCACAAAAATCAAAAGGGATTATTCTATGGGTTGTGGCAGCCATTCAGATAAAAGTACAAATTAAAATCAGTGAAAGTACTGCCAAGAATAAGGACAACAGAGTTTGGCCCTGTTAATGTTACTCTGGTAGCAGGTATTGGTTTGGTAAACAGTCTTTCATGCTCAAGAGAATCTCCAAGTTTTGTTCAAAATAAGGAGTTAGGTGTAGGGACAAAACAGCCAGCACTGTGTTGCCAAATGGGTCAGTTGTCATGTGCACAGCATTGGCTGGGACATCAGGGTACTCTTCAAAGATTAGCAAGGAATCTGCATGAACAGCAGAAGACAGTGTAGTCTAGATCTGAAGCAACCAAGAAATCAATGTGCCATAGAACTCAACCTGTAAAATGGGGAGATCTACCACCTGGGCCATGCACCCTGTAATCCCTGGGTGGAATTTCTCATTACCACTCAGTGCCGGGGGAGGCCCAGAACGCACTGCTCTATGACAGCAATCCCAGCTGCAGCTGATACAAACCGCGATAGGAGGGTTAGCGGACTACAAACCGCGGGAAGAAGCAGACGAGACAAACATCAATCCTGTTCACAAAATATATTTATTGTTGATACAGAGTGAGACCATTTTCAGTACGTAATGACAGCTGGGCCCACAACAGAATCACAGGTTACTGATTGCATGTCAATTCAAGGCCATTTTACACCTGGCACTCCTGAAGCTCTGGAGTGTGAACATTATTCCAGCAGAGGGTCTGGGGAAGCAGAGGGAGACCTTTGGGTTACATAATCTTAGTAATAAGTTACGCAAACATTCCTTCAGTGATATATAAAAAGGAAAAGTTCTTAACAATCAGCAGCCCACACAGGCCGTAGCGTGTGGAGCAGCAGTTGGCCAGTTCACAGAGCGCCCTACACGGGGACACGAAAGCATCACCCGCCCTCCCGCCTCTGACATCAGGGAGCTACTGAGCAGATTCCACAATGACGCCGCGGCGTCGGAAACACATCCCGCCCCTCCCTGCCCCCGAAGGCCAACGGAAGATATTTTGATACTTTTTTCTATCACCAATCAGTGAGTTTTCTGCGACCAAACTGCTCCTGGGACGTGTCATTTCTGATGTAATCAGATACAGGTCTCAGGATTGAACTGTGATGGCTGCTGCTCTCGAAATGACTCTTCTAGTTCTTCTCTTTATTGGTCTGCACTGGGAATGGGTTGTCAGCTCGTTGTTGGGAAAAAATGCTCTGCTGCTGGAATGAGAGTCGATGGCTCTGTGCTTGATTCGGACGTCGCCTTACCCTCCTCTGCCAAGCGTGCTCTGCTAAGAAAAGAGGGGCAGGGGGAGGCACAGATTTCAACATTTAAAGCTAGACTGAAACTGCTTTTAAATGTCAGCAGCAACCCCATACGCTCTTTGCTGGGCGAAGGCTACCTGTATGCAAGGGAAGTCACAAAGCAAAAGGGTGAGTATGCATGCAACAACCACATCAAAGTTAGGGAATGGGGCCCAGGAGACAGACTGCATCAAAGCTGTAGACTCAACGAGTTGGACGTCAAAAGGACATGATGGCGGTTGGCCATTTTAGGCTTCTTTAAAAAAAATCTGCTCTTCCAATAAGGAAAAACCCATTCCCCAAGTCAGTAGGGTAAATACTATTCTTAGAGTCTTTGGAATGCCACCTTCCCTAACATTTTAACACATAACCCTCCTAACCCTGTCAATTTTCTGGGGGCCTTCTATCTTTGACCCTGTCACACTGACCATGCGCTCCACTGATCATTTTCCATGCACCATCAGGCCACGCAGACGTAAGTGCACTGAAGGGATATAACGTATGGCTATCCTAAAAACTCCACTGACAAGAGTTCACAGGCTAGATGTTCCTTCTAGCCCCACATCAGAAACCGGTCAAGCTCCACCAGCTGTCTCTGGAAGGAAAAGTACTGAACCAGGCAACGGGCTCCATCATGGATGTAGAGACCTGGAAGGATAGGTCACTGCGCTCGTGGGGGATAGCCTATTGCTATGGCCTGGGAGAGAGAGGTTGGTGGAAACACAAATGCATTCAGGTTCCAACAGGCAAGGGAGGGCAGAGACCTGGCTCAGAAAAGACCATACTAAGTGGAAGTCGGTACCAGATTGGCCAGCAGCCTGGTAAAAGCATGGTGGAAGCTGTACGTGCTAGAGGGCTGGAAGGTTAACCAGAAAGAATTTGTTGCTCCTAGTCCTCGGTGTCCAAAAACGGTAACAGTGATCGGTGGGGACTGACCAATCTTTTCTTGGAATTGATGGGTCTAACTGGGGCCTGAGCGCCAAATGAAGGCCTTGGAAAGTTACATGCTCTAGGGGAAAAGCCAGGCCACCGCCAGTTTGCAATTATTTTAGTAGTTTTTGGTGGGACAGGGCAGGGTTTCTATCTCACCAGTGGTGATTTGGGAGTTAAGAGGCAGAGCCCAGGAATTTTGAGACCAGGAGACAGGAGGTTAACAAATGGGGGTGCTAAAAGTGTGCATGTGTGTAGGAAAATAAAGGGGAAAACTGCAGGGAGTTATTTATAAGTTAGCCAAGCTCACAGGACATAATTATTAAAGCTTAGAACATAAGAACGGCCGTACTGGGTCAGACCAAAGGTCCATCTAGCCCAGTGTCCTGCCTACCGACAGTGGCCAATGCCAGATAGCCCAGAGGGAATGATCAGAACAGCGAATCATCAAGTGATCCCTCTCCTGTCACCCATTCCCAGCCTCTGTGAGACTAGGGACACCATTCCTACCCATCCTAGCTAACAGCCATTGATGAATCTATCCTCCATGAATCTATCTAGTTCTTTCTTGAACCCTGTTAAAGTCCTGGTCTTCACAACCTCCTCTAGCAAGGAGTTCCACACTTCCTTGTGTTTGTTTTAAACCTGCTACCTATTAATTTCATCTGGTGACCCCTAGTTCTTATGTTATGAGAACAAGGAAATAACTTTTCCTTATTCACTTTTTCCACACCAGTCATGATTTTATAGACCTCGATCATATCCCCCCTTAGTCTCCCCTCTTCTAAACTGAAAAATCCAAGTCTTTTAAATCTCTCTTCACATGGGACCCGTTCCAAGCCCCTCATCATTTTTGTTGCCCTTTTCTGAACCATTTCCAAAGTCAATATATCTTTTTTGAGATGAGGTGACCATATCTGTATGCAGTATTCAGGATATGGGTTTACCATGGTTTTATACAGAGGCAATAAGATAGTCTCTGTCTTATTCTCTCTCTCTCTCTTTTAATGCTTCCTAACATTCTGTTGATTTTTTCAGCTGCCACTGCACAATGAGTGGATGTGCTCAGAGAGCTATCCACAATGACTCCAAGATCACTCTCTTGAGTCGTCGTAGCCAAATTAGTCCCCATCAGATTGTAGATATACTTGGGGTTATGTTTTCTGATGTGCATTACTTTACATTTATCAACATTCAATTTCATTTGCCATTTTGTTGCCCAATCACTTAGTGTGGAGATATGCTGCAAAGAGCAGTTCGGGTGTAAGGGAAAGGCTGAGCTAAGGAGTGGCTCATAGGCACATCGCTGCATCACAAGTGTCCACGTGAAACAAAGAGAACTGCTCCAATGATCACAAGTACTGATCAAAACCCAGTTTCAATAGATGAGGACACAGACAGACTGAGGTCAGTTTCACCTTCCTTAGCTGTTACGAGAAACAAAGCAAAGAAAAGCTTTTATTAGTTAACAAAGTATATAAACAAAATCTTTACAGCATCTCCTAGGAGATTTCTCCAGAACTGACAAAGGCAACTTGAGCTAGAAGGCTCCACCGCAGCGGCTGTATGAAAACTTGCATGTAACTGCTGTTGGTCTGAATATTAACACTGCATCAATTTAACACTGCATAAATTAACCTAGGAAAATCTCAGAGGCTCTGGGGAAAAGCTCTGCAAGTCTCAATTCAAAAAGTGTTTCTTTTGCTTACAATCCCGCTAACACTGACATTCTGAAGGCGAGGAAAGAAACTGCAGGTGTTTGCCAAGTCATAGACTTCTGTCTGCAGCGTTTCATCGCCACGCAGAGAGATGTGTTCTACGGCATCTGAAAGGTGGGATGGCTGGGCGGGGTTACTTTCTATTGCTCAGCAATAAACAGCAGGGCCCCCTGTAAACTACGGACAAAACCTCAAAGGCTGAAAACTGGTGAGTCGTCTCCCTTTGCTAAAATCATCTCGACTGACTGTGCAAATGTATCTGTTATATTAGCTTTGTGAAAGGAGTCGGCCTGATTCCTGATTTACAGCTTAGTCATTGTGGTTTAGCTGCCCAGTTCTCCGTGGGTTGGCTGTGAATGGCAGCCTTGAGCGTTGCCACGTCTTTACAATATCGGCTTAAAAAAAACTTAGTGAATGCAAGTTATTAGCTTCATCAAGTCCATCTCCCAGCCAGGGCAGAGCCATTCCCGTTTATTTTATAGGTGGCCAACTTTGTTCCAAATATTACAAAGCCAGGGGGCTTCTGGTATTTCCCTTGGAAGGCTGCTCCCTTCATATCCCTCACTGATCATTTCTGTTGCTCTCCACCGTCTCTCATTAGCCAGGATCCTTCCGGCAATGTAGCTAGAACTCAATGCAATGCTAGAGATTTGTCTGACCCTTGTGAAATGAGGGACTATCACCTGCCTGCTCTATGATGTCAGCACGACATCTGACAGAATGCCCACTATCACCCCTCTTTCTGCATGACTGCTTCCCCGGTTCCTCTCCCTCCAGCTGGGGGGGGTCTGCATTCAGATTATTCTCCCCAGAAGTAGCAAACGATGCTGATACTGCTGCCTAAGTTTCTAACGTCTATCAAGGAGGCATAACGCACGTCTCATTCAGATTCTGTAAGGCAGTATCAAGTGCCTCTCTAAAACCCACACACGACATTTCCTGCAGGGTTAGGTCAAATATGTCTATTATGGCAACAGAGCAGGATTAAGATCCATACCAGAATCGTGACTGTAATCAGGCTAGAGAACAATGTATTGTTACCACACTTACTGACACTGTCGCATTTGTAACTAGGCTAGGCTACAGCTTGATACCATGTTTCCTAGTATTTTCAAACACAGCCAAATGGCTGTAGAAAGTGGCATCCACCCATAGCACAGCTACCATCCTGCAACTGTTCTTAGGATCTGTGCTGTACGGATTGGATCAGGGTGTAGTAGGGATGAATCTATCACTAGAAAATGAGCTGTACGGATTGGATCAGGGTGTAGTAGGGATGAGTCTATCACTAGAAAATGAGAGCAATGTAGCAATGATGGTGTCCGTACTGTAGGCAGGTTTGAGGGAGTTTTACCGCCGTCTCAGCTACATTTGCTTTGAGTAGACTGAAAATAGTGCGATACAAATGCAAGAAAGTTAGATTAGTGCTCTCATTGTTACTCCCACTGGTAGTACTGCAATAGTGAAAGATTTTTTTAAAATGCTGGCGAGCAGACGGCCATAATGTCTTCCCTTAATGATGGTAATAAGTATTTCCATCTCCCCTGCTATTATAATAGCACAGAAAATATTAAAAATTCACTTCTACTTCTCAGACTAGCTTTCCAGGACTTCAGGTAAAGATTTCAACTCAAGATGTCAAATTCCTCAGTATTAGCAGCTCTCTGGGCTTTTCTGAGAAGGGGAAAAGAGATGAGATTGAGACATAAGATTATAGACAGCGAGAGAAATAAGGAGCATTTTGAAGAGAGGGTGAAATGATTATAAGCATGATAGGCAAGAAAGAGGAGTCAATACATTCAATTTATGAAAAGCACAGAGAATCCTCTGTCTGAGCACAAGTGCCCAGTCTCCCCTACTGGAAATTGGATTAGTTAACTTATTTGGTTTTTAATATCTTGGCGTCTATTCCCTCTTGCAAGCCTCCCCCTGCCCACACTTTGCTTTGCTTCTTGTAACTCTCACCAGTTAATGTCTTCATTACTGAATCCAATTTCTAACGCACATCTGTTAATTTTTCCTGAACATTTACAATAATATTTAACAATTCTTGCACAATTGCAGGTAAAAATAATTACATTTACAGCTGTAACTCATGAAGGATGAGAACTGATGATCATCATGACAACACAATTTTTGTTTCTGGCTGCACATATTTCCATCCTAGAAAGATTTGCAGCCAAATATCTTACGGTAGACACCTGTTAAGGATCACTATTTTTGGAGCACGTATGAATGAGAATGAGAGAAGGGCTTTAGAAAAATCCGTTTTTGCACAGGAAATAGTTGCAACCATTGATGAGGTGTGGCAAAAAAAAAAAACCAAACAAAAAAAAACA